CCCCCGGCTGGCAGGCGAGCAGATGGGCGGCCGCTTGGACGGCAGTGGGGCCGTCCTGACAAAGCTGCACAGGCTCAGGCCCTGCAATGGCCTCCGTGGTGTCCCCGAAACGGTGAGAGCTGAGGTCCAAGCGAAACCTGCACACGGACGTTTACAGCAGCTCTAGCCACAACCGCCGGACTTGGAAGCAACCAGGAGGCCCCTCAGAAGACGGACAAATGGACGGAAGTCCATCAGACCAGGGAAAAGGATTCGGCGATGAAAAGAAACGGGCCAACGTGTCATGAAAGACCAGGAAGAGCCCTGGCTGGTGTGGCCCAGTGGGTAGAGCATCCGCCTGCAGACTGCAGGCCCAGGTTGGGTTCCCGGTCAGGGCACAGGCCCGGGTCGTGGGCTGGATCCCCAGTGGGGGCGTGCGGGAGGCAGCGGATCTGATTCTCTCTCATCATTGATGTTTCTATCTCTCTCTCCCTTCCTCTCTGAAATCAATAAAAACATTAAAAAAAAAAATAGAGGGAAGTAGGTGGCAGCCCAGTTATAGAACCACAGTTTGGACACTGAAATCTAAGGATTCCATCTGATCTGAGGAAAACCCCCTTTTACAGTTAGGAAAAAAGGAGACATATGTACTACTATTTGTAATACTTTAAACAATAAAAAAGGAGCTATTTGCGTTCTTTTTTTCGTATTTTAATCTCTTCAAATGACCAAAAACTTCATCACTTAAGAGTCTCGTTGGTACCTGATGTTTTTGCAAGCTTGCGTTTAAACAATAAAATGAAATGGGGGAAAGAATATTTTAAAACTTAGAAACCAACAAAGAACACAGAATGGGCTTGACTCTTCCCCAGGGAATGCGATTTGCCAGGACTTAGAGCAGCATCAAAAGATGACTATCTCTTGGCACTGAGCTTAATGTGCAATAAAACCACAGCCATCCTCGCCGGGAACATCGCGAGCAGGAGGAGGCGGACAGCGGGCTGCTCTCTGGGTCGGGGGGC